AGAGGACAGAACTCCTACAGATCCTGCACCTCTCTGCCTGCACAGCAGCTGCACCTCTTTGTATCCGCCTTTCATGGTCTCAGCACTCAGCAGAATCCAGCAGCTGGCTCCAGCTCTTCACCAGACCCGGCACTTTTTGCATCCCAGCGGCAGCACAAAGTAAGTGGGTGCACTGTGATGTAAGGGAGGGTGGGGGACTCTTGATGTATGATGGTGGTGGGGGTGCTATGGACACCTAGTCTTACAAATACAACTGGCCCTTTAAGGGAATAATGCTGATGTGGTTTGACAAACTGAGTTTGACACCCATTTATTTATTTATTTATCGAGTTTATATAGCGCCAAAGGGTTTGCTCAGCGCTGTACAATAGAGGGGGGACAATACATGAAACAGAACAGTAACATCAAACAGTACACAAGGGGTAAGAGGGCCCTACTCTTTCGAGCTTACAATCTAGGAGGGAGGGGGTAGAGGCACAGGAGGAAACGGCTGTGGGGGATGGAGTGGTAGGAGGAGGGAAGGGCAGCGGCTGTTAGGTGAGGGTGGGGTAGGCTTCCCTGAAGAGGTGGGTTTTCAGGGAGCGCCTGAAGGTGAGGAGGGAAGGTGACAGTCTGATGGATTGGGGTAGTGAGTTCCAGAGGATGGGGGAGGACCTGGAGAAGTCTTGCAGTCGTGCGTGGGAGGAGGAGACCAGGGAGCGAGATAGAAGGAGGTCCTGTGAAGAGCGAAGGGTACGGGTAGGGTGGTACCTGGGAATCAGGTCGGTGAGGTAGTTAGGGGCAGTGTTGTGAATGGCCTTATAGGTCAGGGTGAGCAATTTGAATTTAATGCGTTGGGCAATGGGGAGCCAGTGGAGGGAGAGGCAGAGGGGGGTGGCAGAGGTGGAGCGGCTGGTGAGGTGGATGAGTCTGGCCGCTGAGTTCAGGATGGTCTGAAGCGGGGAGAGCCTGCACTGGGGTAGGGCGGTGAGGAGGGAGTTGCAGTAGTCCAGGCGTGAGATAATCAGGTAGTGTACTAGTAGTTTAGTGGTGTCTGGGGCAAGGAAGGAGCGTATCTTGGAGATGTTCCGGAGGTGGAGCCTGCATGTGTTTGTGAGAGATTTGATATGAGGTTGAAAGGAAAGGTTTGAGTCCAGAATGACGCCAAGGACCTTGGCTTGCTGGGCGGGATTGATGGTGGTGTTGTTGGTAGTGATGGAAAGGATGGGGGGGGGGGGGGAGCGGGCTGGGGGGAAGATGAGAAGCTCGGTTTTGGAGAGGTTGAGTTTGAGGAAATGGAGCGACATCCAGTCAGAGATGTCGTTTAGGAGGCGAGTGATGCGGGCGGAGAATGTGGGGGTGAGGTGAGGGGTGGATAGGTAGATTTGAGTATCATCAGCATAGAGGTGGTAATTGAAGCCGTGGGAGTGTATGAGTTTGCCAAGGGAGGAGGTGTAAATGGAGAAGAGAAGGGGTCCAAGGACAGAGCCCTGGGGGACCCCAACAGAGAGAGGGGGAGTGAGGAGGAGGTGGCACCATTGTAGGAAACGCTGAAGGAGCGTTGGGATAGATAGGACGAGAACCAGGAGAGAGCGGTGTCTCTGATGCCAAGGGAGAGTGGTTTATTAAGGAGGAGGGGGTGGTCGACTGTGTCAAAGGCCGCGGAGAGGTCTAGGAGGAGGAGGACAGAGTAGTCGCCTTTGGCTTTGGCGGTTAGTAGATCGTTGGTGATTTTGAGGAGGGCAGTTTCGGTGGAGTGAAGGGGACGGAAGCCGGACTGTAGTGGGTCAAGGAGGTTGCTGTCAGTCAGGTGGGCGCTTAGGCGATCGAAGACCAAGCGCTCAAGGAGCTTGGAAGTGAGTGGCAGCAGGGAAATTGGTCTGAGGTTGTTGAGGTCAGTGGGGTCCAGGGAGGGCTTTTTGAGTATGGGGGTGATGTGCGCATGTTTTAGGGGGGAGGGGAAGACGCCAGTAGAGAGGGAGAGATTAAAGATGTGGGTAAGGGAGCGGATGAGGGAAGAGGGGGGTGACCGGAGGAGTTGAGAGGGGATAGGGTCCAGGGGGCAGGTAGTGAGGCGGGCTTCTGAGAAGACTCTGCCGACTTCCTCAGTGGTAGTAGGGCTGAGGGAGTGCAGTGATGGGGGGGTTACGGTAGGCAGGGCCTTGGGTGTGGTGGGGGGCAGTGCCGTTGCGAGGTCAGAGGAGGGGAGAGATGAGGGGGTGATGGAAGGGGGGAGGCTAGATGGGGAGGTAGATTGCAAGTTGACTATGTCCTTGCGGATTGCGTCAGTCTTGTTGTGGAGATGAGTGGCAATCTCGTGGGCGGTAAGTGAGGTACTGAGTGGAGGAGGAGGGGGGGGGGAGAGAGCAGGGAGTTGAAGGTGGAGAAGAGTCGGCGAGGGCAGGTGGAGAGGGTGTTAATCAGGTTAACAAAGTAGGCCTGCTTGGCGGCGTGGAGGGAGGAGGTGTAGGTGAGGAAGGCAGATTTGTAGAGGGAGAATGCATGAGGGGACCTGGTTTTGCGCCATAGTCTCTCCAGCGCACGACTGCGACGTTTGAGGCATTTAGTGTGGTCGTTCTGCCATGGTTGGAGCGGTCTGGGTTTGATGTTGCGTGTGGTTAGGGGTGCCAGAGAGTCTAGGGTAGCTGATAGTGAGTTGTTGTACGTGGAGGTGGCTAGGTCAGGACATGACAGTGGAAGGATGCTGTCGTGTAAGCGGTCGGCAGCCGAGTGGAGGGGGGCCGCGTGCAGGTTGTGGAGGTTGCGGCTGGTGATGGCTTGGCGCACTGGGGGGGGGAGTTAGGGGAAGGGGAGGTGGAGAACGTGAGGAGGTGGTGGTCAGAGAGAGGGAAGGGGGTGTTAGTGAAGTGGTTGAGGGTACAGAGGTGGGAGAAGACGAGGTCCAGGGTGTTCCCATTGATGTGGGTGGAGGATTGAGTGTATTGTGTGAGTGTGAAGGAGGAGGTTAGGTGGAGGAGTTGGGAGGTAGCTGGGGTGTTGTCATTGATGGGGATGTTGAAGTCCCCGAGGATGATGGTCGGTAGCTCAGAGGAGAGGAAGAAGGGAAGCCAGGCGGCGAAGTCATCCAGGAAGCGGGCTATGGATCCGGGGGGCCTGTAGATCACTGCGATCCTTAGGGGGGTGGGTGAGAAGAGCCGGATGCAGTGAGCCTCGAAGGAGGAGAAGGTTAGGGAGGGGGGGGGTTAGGGAGGACCTGGAAGGTGCTCAGCGGTGATAGGAGCAGGCCGACACCACCACCTTTGTGACCGCTCAGTCTTGGTGAATGGGACCAGACGAGACCTCCATGGGAGAGTGCCCATGGTCTAGAGCAGTGGTCTCCAAATTGTAGCCCTCTGCTAGCTTCTATCTGACCCTTGGGCACCATTTCATCACCTGATACCAACATTGGGGCCCAATTGCTCCCACGGATGACACCACCGATGTGGATAAATTGCTCCTACAGATGACAAACGATGGGGCTCAACTACTCCCACTGACGACAACAACGATAGGGCTTCCATTTACTCCCACTGGCACCGACGATGGGGCCCGCCAGTTGCTCCCACTGGCACCGACGATGGGGCCCGCCAGTTGCTCCCACTGGCACCGACGATGGGGCCCGCCAGTTGCTCCCACTGGCACCGACGATGGGGCCCGCCAGTTGCTCCCACTGGCACCGACGATGGGGCCCGCCAGTTGCTCCCACTGGCACCGACGATGGGGCCCGCCAGTTGCTCCCACTGGCACCGACGATGGGGCCCGCCAGTTGCTCCCACTGGCACCGACGATGGGGCCCGCCAGTTGCTCCCACTGGCACCGACGATGGGGCCCGCCAGTTGCTCCCACTGGCACCGACGATGGGGCCCGCCAGTTGCTCCCACTGGCACCGACGATGGGGCCCGCCAGTTGCTCCCACTGGCACCGACGATGGGGCCCGCCAGTTGCTCCCACTGGCACCGACGATGGGGCCCGCCAGTTGCTCCCACTGGCACCGACGATGGGGCCCGCCAGTTGCTCCCACTGGCACCGGTGGGAGGTTTCTGGGACACCTTGATGACGCCAGATGAAGAAGCCTCAAAAAAACATACAAGTATTGAAAGAAGCCTCAGCTGCGCTCCTCATTGGTCATCATGGTCACATAGATGCCATGGCAAGCATTGTGATGGATCCTCACTCCGGGGATGTGTATTACAGGGGATGGACGGCTATACTCCTGAGATTTAAAGTTTGCGCCGATTTCCTGAAAAGACCAAACTTGCCCTTGGAGTGTACAAACACTGACAAGGCATTGCGGTGTGAGCCCCATTGATCTCTATGTGCCCTGGCAGTACAGGACACTGGTCACTGCACAGTGTGAATGAGCCCCATCGCCCAGCACACAAGTCCTCCATAACAGCACCTTCTACTCTATGTAGGTGAACACAAAGCATTGGAGTGGCGAGGACAGACATGGACTTTGCAGAAAATGTCATTACTGAAGGCAGCTGGGCCACTTCTGCTATACTTACCGTACCATGGAATGTTTGGAATAACAAGCGGCACCGTGCACGGGCAAACTCCTCACAGACCATGAAGGAAGTAGAGTCCGGGGAGCCAGGAATCCTGGGAAATGTAGTCCTCATTCACTCCCTCCATTGCCAACATGACGGTATACAAGTCTCCACACGTCCACCGATTGGATGGGAGCTCCTGGTACACATTCGTGTGTGATTTCCTATTCCCATTCTGTACATATATTCTTCAGTGTCATTCCTGAGCTATAATGGAGGACTATTCTCCGGATCCGTGTTCTCCTAGGCAGAATACTGCAGACATATTGTTGAAGCCGGCTGCAGTATATCTATACAGGGTCTCCACAAACATGGCTGCGGACGTATCCAGGGACATAATGTCACATACACTTCTATACGAAGAGTTATCCCCTCCTCACCATTCAGCGGGAGTTACTTTCCATGAAGGATGACCATCCCAGACCGGGCCCCGCCTCCTCTCTGACGTTTGATATTATTCCCGGGGCTGTCATGGCGGCTCAGAAGATCAATGAAGCTCTGGAGCATCTGGCTAAGGCAGAGAAATGGTAATGCAGAGAGAATGGATGACTGATGTCATAGGAGCTATTCCCACATGGGATCATACCATTAAAGATACATAGTGTTGCCATCCTCCACTCCTCTAGAGGTATATAGCGCTGTCATGTCCATCCCCCACTCCCCCAGCTGTCACGTCCATCCCCACTCCCCTAGAGGTACATAGAGCGCTGTCACGTCCATCCCCCACTCCCATAGAGGTACATAGCGCTGTCACGTCCATCCCCCACTCCCCTAGAGGTACATAGCGCTGTCACACCCATCCCCCACTCCCCTAGAGGTACATAGCGCTGTCACGCCCATCCCCCACTCCCCTAGAGGTACATAGCGCTGTCACACCCCACTCCCCCAGGTACATATGTCACACGCCCATCCCCCCACTCCCCTAGAGGTACATAGCGCTGTGTCACGTCCATCACGCCCATCCACCACTCCCCTACAGGTGCATAGCGCTGTCACGCCCATCCACCACTCCCCTACAGGCATAGCGCTGTCACGCCCATCCACCACTCCCCTACAGGTACATAGCGCTGTCACGCCCATCTCCCCCACTCCCCTACAGGTGCATAGCGCTGTCACGCCCATCCCCCCACAGGTGCATAGCGCTGTCACGTCCTCCCCCACTCCCCAGAGGTACATAGCGCCACGCCCATCCCCCACTCCCATAGAGGTACATAGCGCTGTCACGTCCATCCCCCACTCCCATAGAGGTACATAGCGCTGTCACGTCCATCCCCCACTCCCATAGAGGTACATAGCGCTGTCACGTCCATCCCCCACTCCCATAGAGATATAGTGCAGTCGTGTCCATCCCCCTCACCCATAGAGATACATAGTGCTGCATGTCCATCCCTCACATCCATAGTGCTGTCATGTCCATCCCCCTCACCCATAGAGATACATAATGCTGTCATGTCCATCCCCCACATCCATAGTGCAGTCATGCCCATCCCCCTCACCCATAGAGATACATAATGCTGTCATGTCCATCCCCCACATCCATAGTGCTGTCATGTCCATCCCATATATATTGTATATATATACACACACACACAGCACTCAGCATAAATGAGTACACCCCAACAGATTTGTCAGAAAACCTTTACTTTCCTTTCAGAATCCACATTTTCTAGGGAACACTATACTACAGAATACTCCCACAAATGCGAGCCATTGATTGCAAACAAGATTTGTTAATTTGCACACACAAAGTATTTTTCCTAACAAATTCATTCAAGACCATGCTGCAAACATGAATACACCCCAATGAAAGTCTATGGAGCTAAATTTTAGACAAAATCCTAATTAACAAGAATTCAACTACAAGTGAGTCTAATTATTCGTTAAACAGGTGTCCAGCAGACAGTTGATTATAAAAGGGCGTTACTTAACAATGAAATCCCTTCACATTTCATGCTGTCAGCAATGGCACCACATGGAAGAGAAATGTCACCAGGCCTGAGAAAGAAAATAATCTCTTTACACAAGAAAGGTGAAGGCTACAAGATGATCAGCAAAGCTTTACTTATCAGAGTACTGTAGTATAAAAATTATTATACAGGATTTATATAGTGCCAACAGTTTGCTCAGCGCTTTACAAAATGAAGGTAGACATTACAGTTAAAACACAATTTGGTACAAGAGGAAAACGGAGGGCTGCTTGTTAGAGCTTACAAGTCTAGGAGGAAGGGTTGAGTGATATAGAAGGTAACAGCTGTGGGGTGGATGAGCTGATGGAGGACATAAAAGGCAGTTTACTAGTTAGGAGCAGGATAGGAGGTGACACGGGAATTAGAGAGCAGAAGGTCTTGGGAGGATCGAAGAGAGCGGTTTGGTTGATATTTTGAGACCAGGTTGATGACGTAGCTGGGGGTAGAGTTGTGGATGGCTTTGTAAGTTGTTGTTAGTATTTTGAATTTTATTCATTGGGCGAGTGGAAGCCAGTGGAGGGATTGGCAGAGAGGGGTAGCAGACACTGAACGGTTGGTAAGGTGGATGAGCCTGGCAGCAGTATTCATGATGGACTGGAGGGGGGATAGCCTATGTAAAGGTAAGCCATTGAGGGAGTTGCAGTAGTCGAGGTGAGAGATGACCAGGGAGTAAATTAGGAGCTTTGTGGTATCATTGGTTAAAAAGGGGCGTATTCTGGAAATACAGGTTGAGGCGGCATGATTTGGACAGGGATTGGATGTTGCCTGAAAGGATGCTTCAGAATCCAGGGTTACCCCTAGCACACCCTGGCATGCAGGGATGGGTTTATAGTGGTGCTATTGATCCTCACCCAGAAATAAGGGGAAGAGGCACGTGGGGGAGGAAATATGAGCTCAGTTTCCGATAGATTGAGTTTTTCCAACATGACAATGATCCAGAACACACATCTAAGGCCACTGTTGCATTTCTGAAGAAGAACAGGGTGAAAGTGATTCAGTGGCCAAGTACAGTTAGGTCCATATATATTTGGACACAGGCACACTTATTTTTTTTTTCCAGGTATTTACCAAAACATATTCAAGCTTTAGTTATATAATAGATATGTTATATACAAAAAATCGCCAGCGCCGAGACCGTGAGTTAATTGTTAAATGCTGCTTCTCATTTAGTATAAACACCAAAAAAATATATAAAACATCAAAAACAGCGCAAATATATAATACAAATTAATAAATATATGATGAATATACACGCCAGTGAAAAAATAAAACAAATATAAAAAAAATAATAATAAGTCACACTCCAATTCAATAAAGTGAAAAAATAAAAATAAATTCATAAAAGTCCTTTTCCAAAGAGCCTTTGACCCGTGCTGACACCGTAATAGTGCTCAAATAAACACACCGCACTCACCAGATATTGGTGAAAAAAATGCCTTTTTAGGGTTTTTTTGGGATCCTAGACTCAGTCAATAAGCCTCCAATCACTGGATATTTTGGATCTTCCCTACTCCAGAGAGGAACATAACTAGCCTCCAACCTCCAGGATCAACAGACACCACTCGCCAAGAAAAGTTATGAGTGATGCAGAGAAAAAAACATATAGTGTAATACTGCAATACTCAGGCAAAATCAATTTCCAAGTACCAAACCACTCACATTCTTAAAAAGTGTAATCAGCATTTATTGTATTTCAAATGGAGCCAAAACGCCACATCACCAGGGTATTTCTGAGATCTCACGGTCAGCAACAGATGACAGCGCAAGAATCACCCACAAGCAAGATGGCTCCTGGGAACGCCGCACGCCGCCGTGCGTTTCACTTACAGGAAGTGACGTGGTTCATTGGACGGCGAAGCCAGAAATGCGTCAATGCGTTTCACCCCTCTTCTGTGAAACCGCCCTGGAGGAGGGGTGAACGCGTTGACGTAGGAGAAATCCAAAATATCCGGTGATTGGAGGTTTATTGACTGCGTCTAGGATCCCAAAAAAACCCTAAAAAGGCGTTTTTTTTCACCAATATCTGGTGAGTGCGGTGTGTTATTCGAGCACTATTACAGTGTCAGCTTGGGTCAAAGGTTCTTTGGAAAAGGACTTTTATAAATTTATTTTTATTTTTCAGTTTATTGAATTGGAGTGGGACTTATTATTTTTTTATATATATTTTTTTTATTATATTTTTTCACTGGAGTGTATATTCATCATATATTTTTTATTTATTAATTTGTATTATATATTTGCGCTGTTTTGATGTTTTATATATAATGGATATGGGCTGAAAGTGCACACTCCCAGGTTTAATTTGAGGGTATGTACATCCAAATTGGAGGAAGGGTTTAGGAATTACAGCTCTTAAGAGTAGGCATCCCCCCTTTTTCAAGGGACCAAAAGTACCATAATTGAATCAAAAGCCGTTTCATGGCCAGGTGTGGGCTACTCCTTCGTTATTTCTTCATCAGTTAAGCAGGTAAAAGGTCTGGAGTTGATTCTAAGTGTGGTATTTGCATTTGGAATCTATTGCTGATAACCTACATCATGCATTCAAAGGAGCTGTCCATGCAAGTGAAACAGGCTATTGTAAGGCTTCAAAAATGAAACAAATCCATCAGAGAGCAGAAACATTAGTAGTGGCCAAATCAATAATTTGGTACATTCTGAGGAAATAATAACGCACTGCTGAGCTCAGGAACATAAAAAGGCATGGACGTCCACAGAAGACAATGGAAGACTAGAAGACTTGGTGCTGTCCTTACAAATCATGGAGGTCATACAAAATACTAGATGTAGTAGTTTATGTTGTGGGGTGTATTCATTTTTGCATCAACTAATTTGAGGAGTAAAACTGAAGATTTTGTAATCTAAGTTATATTGTTAACCTTACTTTCATGTCATGAGGGAAACGTTCTTTTCAAAATTTTGCTCGAGGTGATTGTGGCCTTATTAGTGCATTTGCGACACAAACAGTTGAGTACTGTCCTTGATACTTTTTTTTTTATTTGGACATACCCTGAAAGCTTGTCCTGAAACTTGTATGTTAGTGCAAATTTAAAAAAGTATCACAGACAGTGCTCAATTGTTTCTGTCAAAAAATTTTGGAAATTGTTCTTGTGTTCATTGATATATTGATTAAAATCTTACTTTTCAAAAGGGGTGTACTCATTTATGCTGAGCACTGTATAGTGCTGACATGTCCACCCCCTACTGCTATAGAGATACATAGTGGTGTCATGTCCACTGATCACTTGCATAGATAAAGATCTATCTATTTTGCTGTCATGTCCATCCCTCACTCCCATAGATATATTAGTGCTGGCATGTTCATCCTTCACTAATATAGCCATACATACTGCTGTTTTGTTCATCCCTCATTCCCATAGAGATACATAGAGCTGTTATGTCCATCCCTCAATCACTTATTGATACACCTTTTAATTAGAGTAATGATAGAAAATTGGACAGTATTTTTATTGCTTTCACTGTCCTACTTCCCATTTCTTGGTGTCACAGAGACTGAAAGAAATGTGACATTCACTGCAAGTGACTTTCAGGGTAATGTGTTCTCATATACAGTGAATGTCACATACTCTACCACCCATATTTATAAATCAGAGTTCCAGGTTTGTGTTGTCTTTCTTGTTATGTTATTGTCATCTGTTTTGTGTTCTTTCTCTGACATTTGCCTGTTCTATTGTACATTACAGTTGATTTACAGTGATTGATTCAGATTTTTATTCCTAGCTTAAAAACCAGTTTTCTAAAATGGAAGCCAGACTATGACAGTGCAGCCTCTGAATATTCCAAGGCAGGTATGTACTAAATAAACTGACTGCAGTTGGTATGGTGCAGCAAGTGATCTGTTATGACACCAGGTGATTGATGGCTTGATAGGTACATGCCATGCGTTCCGGTGCGTTTTTGATGCATTTTATGACGTTCCAATACAGTTCTGTGCAGAGAAAATGCAGCATGTTCTACTTTTTTTTTCTGCAACTGGAATGCACTGGAACTGCAAGCCCTGATGTGAACTATGACAGCCATATAACTTTTTGTGCGTTTTGTATCTAGAAAAAAAGCAACTCAAACGCATGTTGTGTGAACTGGTCCTAAATGTTTTTTTTTCTTTTACTTTAATGCATTAAACTAAAAAACGTTCTGTGTTTCAGATTCCCCCTTCCCCTCCTCCTCACCCCCCCACCTTCCTCTTATATTTACCTGAGCCCATTCTCGATCTAGCGCTGTTCATAAGTGTAGCGACTCTCTCATCTCTCTCCCTCCTCACTGGACAGATTGATAGCAGTGGGAGCAATTGGCTCCTGCCGTCAATCAAATTTATAGAAGAGGGAGTGGGGGGGGGGGGGGGGTTAGAGCTGAGCTGCGCTGCATAGTATGTCTCAATAGACACAAAGAGAGCAGCTCAGGAGTGACCCCACACGAGTGTACCCATAAAAAGCGACTTTCTGTGGGGGCGCTCAGAAGGGAGTAGGAGCCAGGAGTGCCAGCGGGTGGGGCCGGAGAAGAGGATGATCGGGGCTGCTCTGTGCAAAACCAATACACAGAGCAGGTAAGTTTAACATGTTTGTTATTTTACAGTCACTTCAATATATATATACAGATGAAACTCGAAAAATTAGAATATCATGCAAAAGTTCATTTATTTCAGTAATGCAACCTAAAAGGTGAAACTAATATATGAGATAGACTCATTACATGCAAAGCAAGATAGTTCAAGCTGTGATTTGTCATAATTGTGATGATTATGGCTTACAGCTCATGAAAACTTCAAATCCACAATCTCAGAAAATTAGAATATTGTGAAAAGGTGCAATATTCTCGGCTCAAAGTGTCCCATTTTAATCAGCTAATTAAGCCATAACACCTGAAAAGGGTTCCTGAGCCTTTAAATGGTCTCTCAGTCTGGTTCAGTAGGAATCACAATCATGGGAAGGACTGCTGACCTGACAGTTGGGCAGAAAACCATCATTGACACCCTCCATAAGGAGGGAAAGCCTCAAAAGGTAATTGCAAAAGAAGTTGGATGTTCCCAAAGTGCTGTATCAAAGCACATTAATAGAAAGTTATGTGGAAGGGAAAAGTGTGAAAGAAAAAGGTGCACAAGCAGCAGGGATGACCGCAGCCTGGAAAGGATTGTCAGGAAAAGGCCATTCAAAAGTGTTGGGGACTTTCACAAGGAGTGGACTGAGGCTGGAGTCAGTGCATCAAGAGCCACCACACACAGACGGATCCTGGACATGGGCTTCAAATGTTGTATTCCTCTTGTCAAGCCGCTCCTGAACAACAAACCACATCAGAAGCATCTTACCTGGGCTAAAAGTTTTTCACCTACTGAACATATATGTTTTTAGAATGGGGTGTTCAAAAAGCGCAAGTGTTAATGTGGAGTTGTTTTGTGCAGTTACTTTAGTCTAGGTCAGCACTTCAACACTTCATTGGAATGGGCCACTGTAAGTGTGGAAAACATGGGGAAAATGTCCCGAACCTTTTTTAAAGTCCCAGTCGCACAGAACCACATGGTGCTGCAGCACCATGTGATTTTGCGCACCCCAAAATGCGTAATGTTTTCGAATGTGTGGGGGTGCCAAAGTATTCTTATAGATCTATCTCTGTCTGTGTTTGTTCTAATTGGTATGAAATATATTTATTTTCTGACTAAAGTTCCAATATATTTTTATTTTACAGCTGTTGCTTTTAAGAATGCAAAGCAGTATGATCAAGCTAAAGATGCATTTTTGAAGGAGGCTGAAGCTTATGAAAATAATAAAGCGTATCCTTCATGTCTGACCTATCAATAGCGGTCTAAAATATTTGTCCTTTTTGTTCTTAACCTCGGTTATCCTAAATACTATTACAGATTGTGCAATAAGTGTATTATTGGTCATCAGAAGATACCACAATCCACACTTTAGTGACAGTACTCTTTGGGACCTCTGTTTGTAAAAGGCAGTAAATATGCCACATCTAGTAGCATATTTAAAACAAATCTGATTTTAAAAAGAAAAAAATCTCCATGCATTTTACAGTTAAAGAGAATCTTCACCCTAGAAGGGAAAAAATTAAAAGTCAGCAGCTACAAATGCTGTAGCTGCTGACTTTTAATCAAAGGACATTTGCCTGTCTAGGGATCCAAGTGCTGTCCTCACCCGGGCCAGTTCTTCGCTGGTCTTCGTGTCCATGGTACCGACATGTGCATGTGGGAAGCTGGCTGTGACTCCATGAAGCTCCAGCTGGCTTCTCACTTTGTGAATGTGTCCCAGAAGGCTGCAGGGAGGGGGGGGGGGGGGGGGTTGCCGAACTTCCACTTGGATCCCCTAGGCAATCTGAGCAGAAGTGGGAGTGGGTACCTATCAAAACTAGGTACCTGCTTCCCCTCCCCCCCCCCCCCCTCCAAAAAAAAATGATGTGCCAAATGTAGTAGAGTATGTGGGGAGGAGGACATAAAGCTCAACTTCCCTTTTTGGGTGAAGTTCTGCTTTATGAACACTTGCGTGCGGGAGGATAGGAGATTTCTTTCAGTACCAAGGAAGCCCAGGCACTGCAGACAGTGGTGGGTGTACGTGGATGTATACCAAGAGTTGTGTACATACAGGAATACATCCATACACTAGACATGGGTTTACAGGAGTACTGGTGTAAACCCATGTATGGCTGTGCACAGACATCACTGTCTATGTATGCTTTGTGCAATACCTGGGCTTCCCTGGCATAAAAGAAACCCAGAATTTTACAGTGAACATGCAAAAAGTAACTAAATAGAATACAAAAATGGATATGCCCTATTTATTGAAGGCATTTCAGTGCTCCACAGCGGCAGCCTGGAATCCAAAGGATGAGACTGTAGGCTGCATAGAATGACCGCCGTTGTGTGAGAGCAGCAGTCCCACTCCCCCCTTGTCTTATCACCACTACATTGCTAGACCTCCTACCCATATCTTGACAGTTTGTCTCCAGTCTTTAGTGGAGTGTCCAAAACTTTTGTGAAACGTATCCACTACAAAAACCATTCTCTAATTGTGGTAAATGACTTATTCAGATGGGCAAATGAGGATAGCTAGACTGCAGCATTCAGACAAGGCTAAACTCCGAACCTGGACACTTCAGCGCCCTGGACTATGGCCACATACAAACTGGATGATTAACTACATCTAGTTCATGTGTGGTCAAAACCATCGGTCCTGGACACAACCTGACTGCGTTCAGGGACAGTCAGAACTCCTAATCACATGTAGTCGCTCAGATGAGCAGTTACATGCAGACCGTGGCGTTGCCATCCATCGATGATTGATAATGCTTAAATGTATGCAAAGTCAAAATGTGTTGTGTTTTTTTTGTTTTATTTCTTTATTTTTTATGCTTGCATAATGGTTAAGACCCCTGTAAGATTTTATTATTAATAATATATCATTTTTTTTTTAGCTTGTTTGTGTTCCCTCAGGGAGATTTCTCTTCACTTCCTGTCCCAGTGAAAGTGATCACCAGGACTACTTGTGAGGGTGAATTTGCACAGGGGAAAACAGACGGCAATAAAACCCCAACAGAGTCTAAAGGGCCTGTTTATAAAGCAGCAAATCTCTGCTGGTGAATCCTCCAGGCCCATGTGTTTTAAATGACAGGGAGTGATTCTCCACCAGAGAGTGTTTGGTGAAAGTCACATTCCTGCTTTATAAATCCCCCCCCCCCCCCCCCCCCCCCCAGCCTTTCCTGGCTTTTTTTTTTTTTTTTTGGCCTAACATACTTTAAATTATAAGTTAATTCCTTAGTTTTACATTGTCTGTCCTGCACTAGGGTTAACAAGTTTGATTTTTTTTAATTAAGATTTATTTATCAGAAATGAAGTGTGCAGTCTTCTTGTGGTGAAGCCACAGTGATTTAAGTAAAGGAAAATAGTTTGATTTTATGATTTGCCTATGAAAGCCTTAATCAATTATTCCATCCAGACTCTTCCATGCTGCCAAGTGAGTATAATGTGTATCAATGTGAGTTATAGATGTATATTCCCCTTACAATACCAGCAGTACATTGACTGAAAGAGATGGAGCCCAGAATCAACCATATTGCCAACATTTTGTTGAAATGTTGATGGATTTTTGTTAAATGTGCTGCATAGAAATGGATAGGTTGTTACAGACAACAGGTATTTCTCCAGTTTTGTATAAAGCTGTTGTCTTTCATTAGGGACTTGTTTTTAATAGGTTTTTAGAATTGTACTGTTTTTTGAGTGGTAAGGCGTTAGGACCTCTGCCAGGTTTGTATTGCTTCGCTGTCTCTATTTGGCCTCTTGCACACAGACATAATAATCTACTGATGTTTATGGGCAAGATGTTGCTAACAAACGCTGACAGAAAGATCTTGAGTGAAAATCGCAATTTAGGTTCCATAAAGACCAGGTCTGTACATACACTATATTGCCAAAAGTATTGGGACACCTGCCTTTCACGCACATGAACTTTATTGGCATCCCAGTCTTAGTCTGTAGGGTTCAGTATTGAGTTGGCCCACCCTTTGCAGCTATAACAGTTTTAACTCTTCTGGGAAGGCTGTCCACAAGGTTTAGGAGTGTGTCTATGGGAATGTTTGCCCATTCTTAAAGCGCATTTGTGAGAGGTCAAGCACTGATGTCAGACGAGAAGGCCTGGCTCACAGTCTCCGCTCTAATTCATCCCAAAGGTGTTCTATCGGGTTGAAGTCAGGACTCTGTGCAGGCCAGTCAAGTTCCTCCACCCCATACTCGCTCATCCATGTCTTTATGGACCTTGCTTTGTGCACTGGTGCGCAGTCATGTTGGAATAGGAAAAACTGTTCTCACAAAGTTGGAGCATGAAATTGTCCAAAATGTTTTGGTATGCTGACACCTTAACAGTTCCCCCACACCATAGTCCCCCCTCCACCAAACTTTACACTTGGCACAATGCAGTCAGGCAAGTACCATTGTACTGGCAACCACCAAACCCAGACATGTCCATCAGATTGACAGACCGAGAACCATGATTCGTCACTCCAGAGAACACGTCACCACTGCTCTAGAGTCCAGTGGCGGCATGCTTTACACCACTGCATCTGACGCTTTGCATTGCACTTGATGATGTAAGGCTTGGATGCAGCTGCTCGGCCATGGAAACCCATTCCATGAAGCTTTTATGCACTGTTGTGTTAATCTGAAGGCCACGTGAAGTTTGGAGGTCTTTAGCTATTGACTCTCCAGACAGTTGGCGATTTCTGTGCACTGTGTGCTGTCAGTTTTTGTGGCCTACTATTTCGTGGTTGAGTTACTGTTCCCAGCTGCTTCCACTTTGTTATAATACCACTGATAGTTGACCGTGGAATATTTAGTAGCAAGGAAATTTCACAGATGGACTTATTGCACAGGTGCCAATCTATCACGGTACCACTCTTGAATTCACTGAGCTCCTGAGAGCGACCTATTCTTTCACAAATGTTTGTAGAAGCAGTGTGCATGCCTAGGTGCTTGATTTTATACACCTGTGGCCATGGAGGTGATTGGAACACCTGAATCCAATGATTTGCAGGGGTGTCTCAATAATTTTGACAACATAGTGTATGTTCAGGCGCGTATATTAGCATGCATTCGTAAAATTCTTCTTTATCCTGTGGCAATTACACACATACGATTTTATGTACTTTCATATACACACTTATATGCATAAATGACTGCATTCAAACTTAATTTTTTTTTAAGACTCTGAGCACATCACATTACTATGGATGTTTAGCCCTGGTTCACACGTGTGATGTGTTATGCGTTTTTGGCTAAATTAGCATGCATCATTTCCTACCATGATATCAGTCCTTATTGACACCACCGTACAGCAACATCCAGCAGTATATGGTATAAGCAAAATCAGTGCTGTTTGTTACCAGTACAGTCTGGTAGTGTTTTAGTGACCCCATGCAGCCTTGCTTTAATGTAAAATGAAATATTGTATCCAGTGTTAAAGGAAACCTCTACTGAAAGAAGTATTGGCATTGCCATTGCTGACTGCCTTCTTGAAAATGCTAGTTCTCTGGCTTCAGTGCTTTATAGGTCACTGATTTGGAGAGAACATGCAACCAGTAAAGTCAGAAATTCTAAATCAGGTCTGTGACTCATTAGGGCTCTTGTACACTGCAGTTGATAAGCTCACGTTTGAATGCTGGAAATTGACAGCAGGTAAACACAGGTTAAAAAACATCAGTTTTGACGCGATTGCATACCGCGTTTAGCTGCGTTTATGCGTGTTTGCGTTTAGAAGCGTGTTTTAAAGATAAGCACAGGAGAACCTCCAAAATGCCCAGAATGCACTGGAAAGTGGTAAATTATTAACTATTTCAGACTGTTTCAGAGAAATACAGAGAGTAGAAGCAGAGAGAACAGTAGGTGTTGAGATTAGCTTAGGTGTGAGTTGTTCATTAACATTTCTTTTGTTTCCAAGGGTGGGAAACTTGTCTGTGGAGTGAGCCATTAAGGCCACCTGGTGGGAGGTCTTCATGAGGAATTTGATGTGTGAATGGTCATTAACATATCTTTTGTTTCCAAGGGTGGGAGAGGTCTGAGGTGTGAATTGGCCATTACAATGTGTGAAAAGCTTCATAGGAACATCCTGTGTTAAGTGTTTTGTCCATTTGGGTACCTTGAAAATGATTTTCATGCATTTTTCATGATGAAAAAAGGTTCTGGACAGCATCTGGAAATGGAAGATTTAAAAAAAATTTCCAAACGCTTATAAACGCAGTTAGCCGCATTTACAAGCGTTTGGCATTTGAAACACTGATAAAATCTACTGCTGAACGCAAGTTTTCTGCGTTCAAAAAAACTACTGTAAACTCAACTGCCTGTAAACGACATAGTGTACATGGACACATAGGAAAACATTAGGGAGAGTTCAGGGGCTGCTGAAAAAACGCTGAACAGCTCTTAAACGTGAGTTTATCAGCTGCAGTGTACATGAGCCCTTAGTGGATAATGAGTTTATGAAACCATGGGATCAGCTTAACAAGTTGGGATCAAGAATTTTCAGAAGCAGAAGTCAGCTTTAGTAGTCTCTGTATATCTATCTGTTGTTGCAAGTTTTTTTTAGATAATATCAAAACCTGTGTTTTCAAAAAAAGACCAAAGTAAGCTGATTACTGATTTGCAGCTGTGAGATTATGAATTCTCCCTCAGGCTGTGCTTTATACATCAGTTGTTTTTTTTTTTTTTCAGTTTATACATACACATCTGTTTCAGTAGTGTTTGCTGCATGGATATAATGGTATGAATAGCGCACTTCGATATGTTGAGTACTGAGATTGTACCTTTATTTTTAACATGTTTGCTTGCTGTTAACAGGGCCTATGAACAAGCAGGGATGATGTTAAAGGTAGGAAATCTTTTATTAACTTGCGCTGGACAAATATATTTTCATTAAAGTAGAATTCCAGGCTAAACCTGACTAATTAAATTCTCCTTCCCCCCCTCTCCGAACACCTATGCTGACTACTCCGTGTAAGAAAGATGCATATACTTGCCTATCTTCTCTGGCCATTCCAGTCTGGTCACATGATCCAGGGTACACTGATATCAGATGGGCCATAGGAGCCTATGGCTGATGTCACCAGTCCAAGTGTTACCAGCTGTTGATGAGCGCTTTCTTAAACAGGTTAGTTAGCATAGGTGTTAGACGAGAAGAAGGAGCATTTTTAAAACTAGGTTTAGCCTGAAATTCTACTTTTAAAGTTCAACATCAGTTGAAATATATTTTATGGATTTAGGTAGATTGGAAAGAGAGCCTCTGTCAGGTTTTTATTGACACTCTGCCTGTGCTTTCCATTCCTTTTCTTGATGTCAGAAGCACAGGAAATGAGGGAAAATCTCCCTAATGATGGAAATAAAAACCTGACAGAAAATGTATCTCTTATCCAAAACCAGTAAGAAAACTTTGGCTGTAGTTTAGGCTTTACATTTTTTTTTTTTTTAGAATGGAAGGCTAGAATTTCTCATAAAAACAGATTTAAAAGGCAACTCCATTTTGGTGGGAAAAAAAGGCAAAAAAAAAAAAAGGCAAAAAAATGAATAAATAAGATAGATAGGGGGGGTCAATTTCACAGCTTAGTCCAGTGGGCAGGACGATCACAGGACTGTGAATTAAGTTTTGATGATTGTTAAAAACTTTGTTTTGGATGTGAAGTTTAAAATTGCTTGTAAGGTTGGGGAGTTGGCGATGATTTTTTTTTTTAATCCCCAGGCACCAAGCACATGTAGCACTTGGTTCTGTTCTGACCTGTCCTGTGATTTTGCACTAAAACCATGTCTTTATGCCTGTCTGTGTTGGCTGTTAGCTCCACCCCAGGCTGAAGCCCAATTTATGGGTGTTCTATGAGTTATGTAATGTCTCCTGATAGCCCACATTCTAACAATGTATACTTGGCAAACCACACTCCTTCCCCACTGCAGGAGTCCATCCCGAATGTGCTTAGGTGGCGTTAAAGCTCACTTGGGTGAATGACATCACTGTCCACACCCCTCCCCCATGCTCCACCTGACACTGTTCAGGTCTAGTGATTGGCTACTTAAGCCTTCATAGTTTCACATGCATTTTTTTTAACACTTTTCTTGTTGTATGTAATTTAGTTGTTTTTTTTTTTTTATTGTTTTTTGTTTTTTTTTAAGATAAGCCACTATTGCTTCTTACTCCATACTTTTATTCTTGAGATCTGGATGCAAAACTGAGTGGCATTGTTTTTAGCAGTTTAAAGGGTAGGTCCACCCAGAATAAAAAAAAAATATTTTGGGTGTAGAAGGAAATGAACAAAATAGCAAAATGAACATTTGTAGCTTTGCTCATAGAACCTGTGATAATACCATTGAAGGCATTGCATAGGAAAAACTTTGGCTTTAGAGCAAGTCAGTTTGCCTATTTGAATAATGCTACCATGTTTTAACATAATTTCAAAATATTAACCATTTACTGCTTCTCCAAATCTACATTTTTGCTTTTTTTCTTAGCTTAGCTTTATAAAGCAGTGACTTTTAACAAATGTATGTAGTTACATGCATGTGTTAGAACTCATAGCTGAGGAAATGGGGGGAGGGATACAATTTCTCTCCAGGTTTTTCCTAAATGCTGGGTGATAAAAAGTATTTATTTTTGCAATGTCACTTTGTAGGAGATGCAGAAGCTTCCAGAAGCCGTCCATTTGATAGAGAAAGCTAGCATAATGTTTCTGGAGAATGGAACCCCTGATACAGCTGCAATGGCGCTAGAGCGAGCTGGCAAGTAAGTGAATATGTTTCACTGATAAGTTCTCTTCAGTATATATAAAGATAAAAACATTCACATCATTCTTAGGTTGCTCACAGCAGAATTTAAGTAAAACCGATATTATTTCTTGCAAGTTTGTGCCGCAGCTTAGCAAAAGCTAACAGATCTAAAAAATCAACTTGCATAAAATATATCTGAAGCCCAACTGTTTTCTTATTGCTGTTGTGTTCCCATTGGGGAGATTCACATTCTATAATTGTCCTCAGGAACATTGTCACCAACACTGTAAGTGAGGACACATTTCAAATTTTAGTTGTCACTTGAGATGAAGGTGAAGGAAAATCTTTCAATGGAACTCCTTTTTGCTGACAGCTGTCTTAAGCTGTTCATAGAAGACTCCATTTTTTTCAATCAACCAGCAGTCTGATTGAAAAAAATCTGAATGGATTGCCCCATCCACACAAGCAAGGGGGATGGGGGAATCCTCCCTGCTGTGCTATTGTATTCTAACAGTGGAACTCCACTCTTAGAATATAGTGATCAGTGCTGCAGTGCCGATCAGATGGAAATTTACCAATTGCCCCGTTTGAGAAGAGTCGATCATCAGATCATCTCCTCTCGAACAGGAACGGCCACATATGGATCAAAATTTACCTAGTCCTTGCTGAACCAGCTGAATGTGGATCCATCTGTGGCCAGCTTAGAAGTTGAATCCCCTCACTTTGTAGAGATTTCCTTTTCCTGTTGTGTCCCTTGGACAGGAATAAATGGAAATGTCTCCAGAGAGACAAAGACAGCAACTTGACCCTGTTGTATCCTCCCCGACTTCAGCATCCAATTTGTCAAGTTTACTCCAAAATGTTTAAAGCCCAACTCCAGGCAAAAATGGAATTTAAGTAGTTCATTGTGCATGAATTACCTTACTCCTCAGTCTTGATCCAAGACACCTTTTCCTAAATCATCTTGCAGTGTAATGGATCAAAGTCACAGTTTCCTTTATGAGCCCAGATAACCTCCTGCCCTGTGGACCAGGCATTTTCCACACATCTTATCTTCCTGGGCACTGATCCCCTCACCGCCTCAGTGGTTTTATTCTGGAGTCTTTGAGAAAGGCCTGGCTGCTGGAAGTGTTGCCGTTTACCAATAAGAGGTGGCCACATCATGAAGGCAGTGATGTGGACACCTGAAGAAGGACCTCAGGAAGTAAACAGAAGAAGCAGGAAGGATTGTCACAAGACCGTGGCTTCAGGTAAGTACAATAAGTATTTGAATAGTTTTTTCTTTTGGTTCAGGTCAGTGGATAGGTAAAGGTGGCAGGGAGGGGGTTTGCAGATATCCTAGAGCTGGGCTTTAGGGCATTATGATAGCTGATCTTCCTATTTTACTGCCATACTCCACTGTGAGACTGCACACTGTAACCTTGTGTCTTTATATTTGGTGTACCAAACTCTTTGTGCACAAAAAAAACATTTATTGAGAAAAAATATATAAAAAGACTCTAAAATGTAAAAAATGTTTTGGCTTTAGATTTGCTTTTGATCTGCTATATAAAGATATATGACCATTCTTCTTTTGTATCTTAGGCTAATAGAGAACGTCAATTTGGAAAAGGCTGTTAATTTGTACCAGCAATCTGCATCCGTCTTTGAGGTGTGTTTCTTTTTACTGCCTCATGTTTTGTTAGACATACAAAGAAGGAAAAACAAAGTGCTATTTAATTCATTTTTATTATTCCAAGAAAACTCCCTCATCCATCCATGTCTTCATGTTTTATTTTGCTGAGAAATCATTTTGAAAAACACCCCTTTAGCATTTCTGGCAGTGGCCATCTTGAGTAAGGGCAAATGATTAATGTAGTAGGTACTTCCTGGAATCCATCTGCTCTTAGCTCGGGTATAGGCTGAGCTGAGGACCCTCCCTGCTCTTCTGAAGACTGTTGGGATATATGACATCATTTGCCTATGCATGGAAATTAACTGAAGAAATTAAAAAAAAAAAAAAAAAAAAGTTCAAAACAAGTAAATATGATAGGAAGCATATCTTTTTACTAATTCTAGCAGCATAAGAAATAAAAATAGTCCATGTTGATTGACAGAGTGATGTTCCACTTTAGACAAAAGAACCTGTGTGTTGCTAGTCTTCCCCAGCATGTCGTATCTCAGATGAAATAGTCTAAACGAATTACCAGGTCATACCTTTAATTTGTATAGATAGGGTCTGCAGTGTGTAGGTATAGGGATGCCCCTACCCCCTATGTACCAGTGCACAGGCTGCCAATGTGTCACTCAGACATGCAGCATTGCACTCTGGGATGTGAAAGGGGTTGTATTTGCTCTCTACTTGCTGAAATGTGTCATTTACATATGCTGTATAACTACATATTTGTATTTTTCAATTGTTGGTTGCTGGCACAATGGCTTTTTATATCTCTTGGGCTGTCTTTTGACAAGATATCTTGACTAGAATTTTTAGCTTCATGCAACAGCCAAGGTCATGACAAAACCAAATGATAGATTCCTCGGAGAAGCCTGCTTTCACGCTGCTTCGTTGCAAAAACACGACTGAAACTCGTGTTTTTGACGTATTTCCAGTGCATTTTGCACATGTGAAAAAAGGACATGTGACACCAAAAATGGGAGTGCATTTTGATGTTTTTTGTTTTATGCATTTTGGCCACTTTTGTATGCATTTTCCATTTATTTTAATGGGGGAAGTGTATTTTTGGTGCTGTTTTTTTACTGTACCAAAATGCAGTATGCAGGACTTTTAAAAATGCAGCTAACCCACGATTGACTGGTGCAAAGAGTTCCATAGGATTTAATGGTCATGCCTTTTATTTCACTTTTAGTAAGGCAAAAACGGAAGGAAAACTGATCGGTGTGAAAGGGCCCGTATAGTTTTGACAGGGTGACCTCTTTATTGTGGCCTTATTAGTGGTTGCACAAACTAATGTAGGGGGATACAGCTGGGATTCACTTTAAAATAACTTTTTTTCTTCTCAGATCAAAACAGATCCTTAGACTAATAATTAGAAATAAAAACAAACAGGGGAAATACAGTATGTACTACGTTCAGGGTTTTATGTAATAGACAGTAACAGGTCCACTTTAGGTATGACCGCAGAGTTTTACAATGTCTGAGTTGTGTAAATTTATTGCTCATTTTTTGATTTTAGAATGAAGAACGTTTACGTCAAGCTGTGGAACTTCTAGGGAAAGCCTCAAGACTTCTAGTGAGAGCTCGACGGTAACGCACTGAGTCATGGATATTTGTGAGGTTAATGTAGACTTGTGGTATCCAGTGTATGGCCTGAGAGCCACATGCAGCCCTTGGACCCCAGCAGTCAATGATGGGAGTGTGGGCATTGATTTCTAAAGGGGTAATAGCAGTAATTCCTACTATCCTCATCGATCATTGGTTGAACTCTTTTCAACCAGACTAACTAAGTAGCATGTAACCAGTCTCTCTCTGACCAGCCCAGTTTTTTTTTGCGGTACGGCGCTGCATTATTTTAACTGACAACTGCGCGGTCATGCAACGCTGAACCCAAATGAAATCTGCGTCCTTTTTTTTTTCCCCCCAGAGAACAGTGGGTGCACATTGCTGGGGGCGCTGTTCTAGGAGGACGTCATATGACGCCCTCACAAAACTAGACGTTCGGCTATAGCGTGGTCAACACGTGGTTAAATGGCGGTCTGCTTTATAAAAGAATATTTTTTAGGTTTTAGGACAGATCAGGTTCACTTTAAAGATAACTTGTTATTGTCCTCACATTTGACTTGACTGAACAGAGATTCTTGTCATGTTTATTATTTTTTTTAAGATATAACACCAATCAAATGTATTCCTGTCAGCACCAATGGATGTAATTTAACAAAAACTGGTTTATAAAGGGATTATTTACTTCTCCAAGAAGATAATCCTATCAGTATTGGTTTTGTCTTTGTGCTGTGTACAATACAAATTGAATGAATGCTCAGTAAATCTCATCCTGAACTGTGCCTGCTGTAAATTTTTTTTTCTGCATTCTGGGATTCTCATTTGTCATAGCAACAAACCATCCTAATAATTTAAATCAGTTCCCTGTTCTGTACTGATCTAAATTATTAAATATGAACTGGCAGCCTGTTACTGAGTTTCATGGTTTTTTTTGTTTTGGGGGAGGGAGTAAGTACTTGCTTCCACTTCCACAATCCCCGCTTAGGTGAGGTTTCACCTCTTGCCCTGCCTCTCAGTTCCCGAATATGACACATGTCCCAGGAGGCTGTAGGACCTTTCACAGGGTGCCACGCAAGCTCACGCATGTGCAGTGTGGAGCTGTCTGTGGTTCTTTAAAAAGCCACAGCTGGTTCCCATAACCAAGGTGGTGGTGGCGCCAGGGTCCTGCAGTGGTGAAAAGAACAGGCTGCAGGAAGACCGCACTGAAACTCCAGGCACTGGTAAGTACTTGATTTTTAAAAGTCAGCAGCAACAAATACTGTAGCTACAAATACTACCTAAAATAAAGAAATAAACAACTGAAGTTCTTCTTTAATGTATTTGTTACTCAACATAGAATTTAAATTAACTTTAAATCGTTCTTTTTGGGGCAGAAAGTTGCAGCTGCTGTAATGAATTGTAGTAGCGTTGGCTACATACAGTAAGCAGCCGCCAGTATGGGTAAGTTCCTATCTATTTCAGGCTGTGAGTGAAGAAGCCATTCAGGAGAAGCTTTATATTTTTATCAATGAGTATAAGGCTGCCACTGATTGGCCATGGTGGAGAGGTGACAGGTGATGGCACCATAAATTGGGAAAAGCAGGTTTGCTTACTCGATCCTCTGCTCCTTCAAGCTTCTCTGCACTGCAAAACTGGTCCCCGCAGCCTCTTCTCCCTAGCATTCCGGTGGTTGGACTCCCTCTGACATTATCAAGACTGATGCAAGGACCATAGTCCTGCATTGGACATGAGGACGCTGAGGAACAGTTCACTGCCGAAGCCTAGGGAAGTGGAGGGTCTGGTAAGTGAACGGTTTATCCCATCCCCTAGATATAAATGAGCATTTAACTGTTGCAGCCCTCTGCAAGATGGCATTTCACTTTGCTTGGAGTTGCTGTAAAGTATGAATTGACATTTAATTTTTTTTTGTAGGCTTGATGAAGCTGTGACATCTATTCAGAAGGAAAAAAATATGTACAAGGAAATAGAAAATTATCCAACATGTTACAAGGTATGAAGTAGTGTAACGTATGCAACTCTTTTTTTCCTAGGAAATCATCTCGCATTGATAGTATAGTCCTAAATGTTCTGGGATATACTGCAATACAGCAAGGGTTTAACTGGGATTGCATACTCGAGCAGTTCTGTCCTACACAATAACCCATCATTACTAAATGAAATTTGAAGGTAGCATTTGGCCATTTGGTGGTCTCTGCATACCAGATTTACCTTTTGTGAGGCTTTTATTTTTTTTCCCAGTGACTGTACAGAAGTATTGGGCCTGCAATTAGGATGACAAAAAAATGTGACTAGTTTGTCAATGTTTTCTACATGCATGCTGCAAACACACGTATGTGCTAATGTGCAAATGGTATTTGTGACAATTGTTCATTGCTCCACTCAGCAAATGGAAATTTCATTGTATGTTTTTGTAGAATTACAATAAAGTCTTACTATTATCCTTATCATTACTAAAACAACTGAAAAAAGGTCTAGACGTTTACAGCCCAAGGATGGTTATCCTACTTACAATACTGTGAGGACTGTCGTAGATTTAGATATGTATTGTTTATCAGTGTAATGAGAGTAAGAAATATTGACCTCAATGTATTGGAGTAAGAAAAGTACTAGGAAATATTCACTGTGCAGGTATCTTAACCATTCGCATGGGCACCATGAATATTTGCGATATGGTTTTTAATATGCTTATCTCTATGATCTTCACTTCCATCTAGTAATCATAATCTGGTATTTTCTTGAAATACCTCAATAAAAAAAATTGTGTCAAGCATGTAGGTGAAAAGTACACACTCCCAACCGGCCTATGCAGGATAAGGATACGAAGCGGTCTCAGCCATCACTCCTCTACAAACCACATCTCCATATGCGTTTCATTCCCCAGTAGGTAGGACGAAACGCGTCAGTGGGTGTGGTTTGCAGAGGAACGATGGCTGAGGCTACTTCTTGTCCTTATCTTACTTGGGCCATTTGGGAGAGCAGTGTCCTTTCCACCTAGATGCTTGACACTTTTGGATGAGTTTGTTTGGGCGACAATACCCCTTCTGCTAGAGACCAAAGCGAATGTATCTCTTCTTCCTTCTTCAGAGCAGCACTCCACGTTTTTTTCTTTTCAGATCACAAAACAATACAGTTTTATGGTTACTAGATGGAGCGGAAGATCATATGAAAGATTGTCATATTACTAATAATATGGTAAACAGTCATGGTACCTGTCCGAATAGTTGAGGCATCCGTGCAATGATTGTTTTATACATAGACCTTTAAGTGTTGTGGGTTCTATATTTTGTCTAGATGTTTTCCTTCCCTTTCAAAATAGTCTTATTTATTTAGTTTTTGTTTTTTTTTTATGTGATGTGGCTAGGCTGTAAACAAAACGAGCTTTAATTTCTAACTGATTTTATGCTGTTTTGTTCAGAAAACCATTGCCCAAGTGCTAGTACATCTACATAGGAATGATTACGTGGCCGCTGAGAAATGTGTCAGAGAAAGTTACAGGTGGGTGTTAATACAGATGTTGCTTATATTCAGAATTCTCCTTTTTGTTGAAGTAATTAAGAAATAGAACCTATTAATAATTGTTTCCTGTTTTTGAAGGCAGTAGGTGAAGCCTTAGGCTTTGTTCTCATGGGCATATGTGTATTTTCTTCACGGAATGCAGGTTCTTGCTGAGAGAGCTAGCAGAAGATCATACATAAAATATTCACCTAAAGTACTCACGTTTAGATGCATAAAGCATTTAGACACGTATAATTCTTCTGTTGGCTAATGCGTGTATGTATTTATGTGCATGCATGTGTAAATTCTGCACATTTGCGCGTCCTGGGAAACAGCAATGTCCTGCTTTTTAGTTTTGGCTAAACACAACACACATTTTCACATGTAGATGCAGCCGTGTATATGGACTTGTTGATAACTATATTGCTGCATTTTGATGTGCACAAAGCAATATGCTGTTTGTATCTAAACGCAGCATTTTGTTCATGTGAATGAGCCCTTGGGCTCTTTTTGTGCTGTAAATGCTGTTCATTTGCTTCTGTGGTGAAAGAAGCCTATACATTTATTTTAAAATGTATACACTAAAAAAACCTCAAAATTCATAGGGATTGATTTACTAAAACTAGAGTGTGCAAAAGCTAGTGCAGCTGTGCATGGTAGCCAGTCGGCTTCTAACTTCAGCTTGAACAATAAATCTTTGACAATAAAGCCTGAAAACTGATTGGTTTCTATGCAGAACTGCCTCAGATTTTGCACTTTTCAGTTTTAGTAAATCAACCCCACAGTGTTCCTTTAAAGTTGTTATTGTATATATTTGTATAAATGAAGTGTTACAAAGAAAAGTGATATTAAAGTGTTACTAAACCCAGGACCCTGCATTCACTATATCTGGTCTCCCACAGTACACACAACATGGCAGTGCAATTATTTTAGTAAATACAAACTGCTAAATACCTTTTCTCATCAGCAGTTAGAGCAGTCTTGTGACTTCTGTCAGTGTCCAGCAGAGCACATGTTAAAGCTTGTAGGAGGAGTTTTCATTTTGCTGTAGGAGGATGCAGAACCCCTGACCTCTGTCTGGACAGTACTGATTGGCCTTGTGCTGATCACATGCACTCTCCCAAGAAAAAAATAAAACCTCTCTAGCAATACACATCACACTGTGCAAGTGCAGAGTGACTGCACACAATATGTATTATCAGGAGGGGAGGGGGTCACTGGAAGAAGGGGAGGATCAGAGAACATAGGATCAAATGCGTATACACACATGCTGCCTTCTAATGCCCTTCTCCTTTTGTAATACATTATGCATTCTTTAAAACTTTCATAAATTAAGTTTTACCATGTCACCCTTTTGACAACAGAGACACTTTCCAGACTGATGTCCAGTATTTACCATTTATATTGCTCATTCACAATGTCTTTCCACCATGAATTTTTCAGCTTTAAGTATACATTTACACAGCTAACATTTTAAACTCTTGCTCTTTGAGGTCTTTTACCAATATGTACTGATTTTGCTATTGGTTCATACAGTGCTAGATCAAGGAATCATGCTCATGGAATAACTGCTAGTCCTCTGTTATGCATGTTAGTGCCTAACCCTAGACCTGTCTACATGAAAGTATTGATGTCTATTTCTTTGAATCGTTTTCTTTTAGTTAAAAGAGAAGTGCGGGATTAGGAAAGAACACATACTCACTTATGTGGCTGCAGCATCGATCCCATGCTGCAGCTATCCCCCTCCAATAGTAAGACGGAGAACTGATCAATCAAATGACTGATGATCGCTCAGTTTTCAGTCTTCAGTGAGCTGAGAGTGGCTCTCTGCTCTATCCCTCCAGTGCTCACTAGAGCGCTGGGCTGTGGAGGGGGTGCTGGCGGTTTGCTCAGACTCAGCAGCACGCTGAAATGCTGAGCCAGCTGCCGGTTAGGCATCTGCGTGGACAGCCTCTGTGATGTTGTAGACTGAATCTGGGTCACAGGACTGCAGAACTAAGTGCACTTATGTGACCCAAAGAAGAAGTATAGCCAAACGAGCTTTGGACATATTTCTCAGATTTTCAGATGTGCGTATGTGCTTTTACCACTGTATGCTAGACTGGGGCTTGTTTTCTGTAGGGCTGTCAGAAATTTTGACACTGACTTTTTTTTTGTTGCGCAATACTTTTAAATTTTATGTATCTACTGTTTGGTATAATGCAGACATTGCTGTGTAGACATTTATTGTATTTAGCTTTCTTCACTTCATTAATCTGATTAATTAGAAGTGGTTTAAAACTTTCCTATTATTTGTATGCGAGCTGATGGAGCAGGCTTTGCAGTGTAAGCATTTTGCAAGTTGTTCTAAGGTTTGTGCTTCTGTCCTAAAAGTATTGTGAAATGCAACACATACTCAGTCAGAGAGCTTTTTCATTGAATTATTTTGTTTTGTTTATTTTATAAATCAATAATAACTCAATTGTGTGACCTTGTCTGCCATAAAACCAATTTACCAAACCATTGGAGTGTACCACTAGTAATGGACAGACTTCTATTTTGTTACTTTTTTTTTTTTTTTTCTTTGTTTTTGTTTTTTTTTTTTTGTTAAGTCAGTAAAATATGTCTGGACACCTCAATCACTTACGTTTTGAAACGAAAAGCAATGCAGAACAAACATTTTTTCAAAATACTGTAACCACGATGCAACCATTCCAGTGATTTTATACACATCTTTCTCATGCTGTGTTGCACACCATTTTTCCACCATTTAGGTTGGTATAGTTACCAACTGATCGGTGTTTTATCTGACCATCTCCCAGGAATGCCCTCAACCCCACAGCAACTATGTCTAGACTTGATTCTAAATGCTTGTGTAGTCTCCTGTCGGTAATACCGCCTTATAAAGTTTTCCAGTCTTCAGACTGGATTGTTGAAATGTGCCATTTTTTTTGGGTAGGGTTTTGGATTAGCTGTAAATGTGGCCCAATCTTGCATTTTTGCAGAGTTAAGAAGTGTGATGTTTGTATGAAGTGAATTCTTTTTAAAAATAAGATTGCTTTTAAAGCTTTTTTTTTTTTTTTTTTCCCTTGCATGGAATAAAATTTGCTGTTTATCACTACTCCCTATTTTTTGTAAAAATGCCAGTGTCATTCTTCACATGTGTGTTTTTATATATACAAGACTGGCATATTACTTAACAGTTTATAGAACACATTGTATTATTTATATTACCCAGATGAGCTTTCAATCCAGCATCCCTGTTCTACTCTTACAAATATACAAATGGGCTAATCTAGTTAAAACAGTTTTTCTCCCGCTGTAGTTTGATATTCTATTGTAACTTAGTATGTTTTGCTATATACATGTATATACTTGTCCCTGGAAATGTTTTGTATGTTTCCATATTGCTATCCTCACAGGTGTTGATAGGTTGGTACAGACAGTCCTGCTGTACCAGGCCCAGGGCCCCATTGGATCAACAGGGTGCCTGGCAGCTTTGACATTCCCCACATCACTACAGTAACTAGGATATAGAGCCAAACTGAGCCTTGCTGTTCTGCGAATTGCAGGACCATAGAGTACTAACAGGGTATTGTTTAAAAATAAAAAAACATGTGCCTCCAAATGGTGGGAACATGAAGGGGTTCCTCTCCTGTGTTGTTACCAGCTTCTTTGCTGCTGACCAGTGTTTGTATGTTTCTGTGCCCTTTTTTTTTTTTTTTTTTGGAAGCTCCAACTGGGTGACATGGTGAGGAGTGGAGGAGGCAGCGGGGGGGGGGGGGGGGAGAGCAAGTTGGCCAGTGAGGAGTCTTGACAGTGGTGAGAGCACCAACTATAATACACTCTCATACACCACTGACCCTTATTGTAATCTACTGTTAACAGTGCACTGTACCTTCATAGACCTCTCACCCTGTGCTGTAAAATAGGTGTGCACTGTTCTATTAAATAGCTATAATGGGGATAGCTGCGGTGATTTCTGGCTTTCCGAACAGCCACGAATAGCTGTGGGCACCAACAGCCTTTTCATTACAGTGTATGGGCTTGGAGGCTGATGTTAGCCACTCACCGCTGTCAAACCCAGCAACAGGAATCCAGATTCCTGCAGCTGGGATATGTACCATGCAAACAAACACCAAGTCTCTCTAATACTTCCTCCCTGTCGGATAAAATGTAAGCTGCCCCATGATTTATAATGGGTCGTAAGTAGTAGGGCCCTCTTACCCCTAGCGTACATTGTTTGTTGTTGTTGTACTGTGCCATGTTTTGTCCCCCTATTGTACAGCGCTGAGCAAACCCTTTGGCGCTATATAAAACTCGTTGTAATAATAATAATAATAATAATCCTGCCAGCTGGGATATGTACCCAACAAACCACCAAGCCAAGCTATCTTTACATTAAGAACTCTGAGAGATATTGCTGCATTTACAACGCTGGGTATACCTTATGGCATGAGTGCACGTCTCGAGGGAATGACAAAGTAAGCTCAAAATGTTGGCAGCTTTGTTGCCAAAATAGCATTGGAGGTTGGGCTCCTTTTGGTCAACACCTGGGGTTCCAGAGGCAAATGATTTTTTTATACAGGCTTGAAATCGTGACATCTCTAGTAATCATTACTGACATCCAATGTCTTGGTTTAGTATTCCAGGGTTCAGTGGGAGTGAGGACTGCACTGCACTTGAACAACTATTAGAAGGTTATGATCAGCAAGATCAAGATCAAGTGTCTGATGTTTGCAACTCTCCTCTCTTCAAATACATGGATAATGATGTAAGTTCAATCATTAAGTGGGTCAAATAAACAATACTGTACGTAATTGTAAAATGCTGTTTGACTTATTATCCTCTTTGAGGTGTTGTATATTGTTTCCTTTAATGCACTAATAAAGGGTCGTATAACAAGATATGCTCCATGCAGGGCAAAGTGAAAGTTTCTCTGCAAAGGTCTTCAACCCCAAGAATTCCTTATACTAAGCTTACCTATGTGTCCCTGCTGCTCCTCCATCCTCCACAGCTGTCTACAATACCTGCTACTTGCAGATATGTAGGAGCATGTGACCTATCACCCTGTTATAGTGCATTGGTGTAGCAGCCAATAAATGGCACCCCAGTTCACCACACATAACATACATTGCCGCAATGCAATAGTGTAAAAGCAAGTTCACTTTTGGAACATTTATTTAGGGTAAAGCATGTAAGATGTTTCAGTTCCTGCCGCCTCTCTCCCCCTGCTCCCCCTTCCCCCATGACAGCGGTCAAGGGTTCTATTCCCTGCACCTGCTGTCACTTTTTGAAAAGAACGTGGCTGTGCAGGGTTCTGCCCACACAGCCATGTTCGTCATTTACAGTTTCCTATGAATGAGAAACTCTAAAGTCCTGTCTGCCACTGCAACAGACAGATTGTAGTTCCGAATGAAGCCCTGTAGCTTTCAGGTAGTCAGCTTGTATGGAGGTTTGGGGTGAAAGCGGCTGGGCTTGTCTGCAGAAGCCTTACATCGCACCCCTGATCTGCTGATTGAGGGAGCAATGCTTTCCAGGCTCCTGCAGAAAAAAATAATACATGCCTTTTTTATTCTGCAGAATTATGTGCATTTATTTTTCAATAAAGGCGAACTTATCCTTGAAGCCTAATTTGGAAGTTGGGGGGTGTGGGTGGGTGGTCACAGTTTACATCTTGGAATATACACACCTGTAGGTCCCTTTTTTACTCTTCAGAAGAAAGTAAGTAAACCTCTTGAAGTTGTGTTTTATTTTTTTTTTTGTGTGTGTGTGTTTCACTGGGGAAATTTTTTACTTCCTGTCTTGAGACCACAGGAAATCAGAAGAGATCTCTGCAAAGTGAGGGAATCCTTTCTTGTACCGCTGTCATCCTCTGAAAGTTGTTGCACTATCGGCGCTGCCTTCTTTTTGTGACATGTTTTCTGGGTCTTAGCACACAGCCTCTTAATAGTTACATAGTTAGTCTGGCTGAAAAAAGACAAAAGTCGGTCCAGTTAAAACCATTTAAAAAAAAAAAAGTTATAATCCTATACCCACAGTTGATCCAGAGGAAGGCAAAAAAAACCCAGCAAAGCATGATCCAATTTGCTCCTGCAGGGAAACAAATTCCTTCCTGATCCCCCAAGAGGCAATTGAATATTCCCTAGATCAACTATACCTATAAATGTTAGTATCCAGTTATATTCTGTGTATCCAAGAAAGAATCCAGGCCTTTTTTAAAGCAATCTAGTGAGCTGGCCAGAACCAACTCTTGAGGGAGTCTATTCCACATTTTCACAGCTCTCACTGTGAAAGAAACCTTTCCATATTTGGAGATTAAATTTGTTTACCCCCAGACGTAAGGAGTGCCCCCTTGTCCTCTGTGATGACCTCAGGGTGAATAACTCTACACCGAGTTCACTATATGAACCACTGATGTATTTATACATGTTGATCATACCCCCCCTTAATCTCCTCTTCTCAAGAGATAATAAATTCAGTTCCTCTAATCTTTCCTCATAGCTGAGCTCCTCCATGCCTCTTATCAGTTTGGTTGCCCTTCTCTGTACTTTCTCCAGTTCCCCAATGTTCTTTTTGTGAATTGGTGCCCAAAACTGAACTACATATTCCAGATGAGGTGTTAATGATTTGTACAGGGGTAAAAATTCTCCCTCTCTCTCCTTTTAATACAAGAGAGTATTTTGCTTGCTTTAGAAACCGCAGCTTGGCATTGAATGCCATTATTAAGCTTGTGATCTACCAGAACCCCCAGATCCTTCTCCACCATTAATGATGCTACACTGTGTATGTGCAGTTAGATTCTACACAGCCCCAAAGCCTTCTGAGATTTATGGTGTGGGCATCCCAGGAGTCTTCAGGTAAGGGGGATGTCATCCTGCCCTAGGCAAGAAAGGCTGAAGCACTGGCAGTGCTTGGAAAAAGTCTCTCTAAGTTAGTGGACACAAAAATGTGAGAAAGTTTTGCTTTAAGTCAAGTCCGTTATCAAAATATGATATGGCCTGAAACCTCTAGTTCTATAGTCTCTGTATTATAAAGAGAAACATGTTCCTTTTATCCAGATGTGGCACAATGATATTAATTTATGGTGCACTTTCCAAAGAAGTTTCTTATATGGAATTTAATGCCCTTACCACTGGGCAGTATATAGGTGATGGGAGGTGCTATTACTGTCTAGTTATAAAAAAATGACTCTGCTATACTAATATGATAAAACCTTATATAGCATAATTTGTTTATATTCATGCCGCATGTGTAGTATATTTAATATTAAAGTGGTTGTAAAGGCTCAAGTTTTTTTTTTTGCTTTCATGCATTCTATGCTTGAACGTAAAAAAAAAAACGTCTGTGTGAAGCAGCCCCTCCAGCCTCCCCTAATACTTACCTGAGCTCCATCATGATCCAGCATAGTGCATGAGATCCTCTGCTCTCTGGGGACTCGCCCTCCTCATTGGCTGAGACAACGGGAGCTATTTTCTCCCACTGCAGTCAATCACAGCCTGAGAGCCAATGAGGAGAGAGGGAGGGGTGGGCCAAGCCATGGCTCCGTGCGTGTGTTAATGGACACGCAGAACAGTGGCTTGGGAGTTGTTTGGGTGCCCCCATAGCAAGCTGCGTGATGTTGGACCATTTGGCAGGAAGGAGGGGCCAGGAGTGCCAGCGGGGGACCCAAGAAGGGGAGGATTGGGGCTGCTCTGTGCAGAACCACTGCAAAGAACAGGTAAGTATGACATGTTTTGTTGTGTGTTGTTTTTTTTGTTTGTTTTGTTTTTAAACATTGCCCTTTAATATCACTTTTAAGCATCAAATTCGTTTATTTGATTTTGTTTGGTCATAGTATGCTAAACTGGCGTTGAGCTTGGGCGTACCAGGAGGTGGAACCAAGAAGAAATCTCCGGCGACCCCACAGGATGCAGCCTCTGCTCCCGCACATGGAGGTTCCAACCTGAAGAGGAAGATGATGAATATGAAGGAGGACTGTGCTAATAGTGTATTCTGTCTGCTTGTGACTGCACATGTATGTCTGTGGAACCCAGTCTGCTCAGAATAAAGAGGACGTACCTCTCTGTGGATGTTCATAAATTGCTTTGTCTGGCACAAAACAAAAACTCATTTCCACTTCTACCACATTCTCTCTGATAAGAGCTCCGTTGATGCTAATATTTATCAAAAGGTCTATGGATCAATATTATGCCCCAGTGTAGCACATCTAGCAATTATATCTAGAATACGAAATTTAACTGTGGCATGTTATCTTATCTTATTTTGTCCTTTTTCATTTATTAGTTTCTCTATCAGTGAATGATGTTTGTACAAATGTGTTTTCTGTAAATTACTGGAAATAATTATGACATGGCTATTAAATATTTAATGATGGCACAATATGTGATCAGAGCTGCTTTTGATATAAATGTATGAATATGACTTAATATATATAAATATACTGTAAGTGTGTGTATATTTGCTGTGTTTTACTATTATGGCTCTATGTTAACATTAGTGGACTTGGTAATTTATACCATCCATCAGAGCTAAATATATATATATTATACAGTTGTGTTCAAAATAACAAAATAATAGCAGTGTGTTGAAAAAAGTGAATAAAGCTCAAAATCCTTCTAATAGCTTTTATTTCCATACACACAAATGCATTGGGAACACTACACATTCTATTCCAAATCAAAACATGAAGAAAAATAAATAAAATTTGTGTTGTTCCTCTAAAAAAATTGAAGAAAAGTGAATATTAGACTGTTCAAAAAAATAGCAGTGTGTGTATTCTTCTTTACAAACTCAAACATTCACTATATAAATTACAAAACGTTTGAAGATTTTGCTTTCCTTTGAATCACTTAGTTAATATTTAGTTGTATAAGCACTGTTTCTGAGAACTGCTGTACATCTGTGTTGCATGGAGTCAACCAACTTCTGGCACCTGTGAACAGGTATTCCAGCCCAGGATGATTGGACTACATTCCACGGTTCTTCTCTATTTCTTGGTTTTGCCTCAGAAACTGCATTTTTGATGTCACCCCACAAGTTTTCTATTAAATTAAGATCCGGGGATTGCGCTGGCCACTTCGTAACGTCAATGTTGTTGGTCTGGAACCAAGATGTTGCACGTTTACAGGTGTGTTTGGGGTCATTGTCTTGTTGGAACACCCATTTCAAGGGCATTTCCTCTTCAGCATAAGGCAGCATGACGTCTTCAAGTATTCTGATGTATTCAAACTGATCCATGATCCCTGGTATGCGATAAATAGGCCCAACACCATAGTATGAGACACATCCCCATATCATGATGCTTGCGCAACCATGCTTCACTGTCTTCACAGTGTACTGTGGCTTGAATTCAGTGTTTGGGGGTCGTCTGACAAACTGTCTCCGGCCACTAGACCCAAAAAGAACAATCTTACTTTCATCAGCCCACAAAATGTTGCGCCATTTCTCTTTAGGCCGGTCAATGTGCTCTTTGGCAAATTGTAACCTCTTCAACATATGTCTTTTTTTCAACAGTGGGACTTTGCGGGGGCTTCTTGCAGATAGCTTGGCTTCACATAGGCGTCTTCTAATTGTAACAGTACTCACAGGTAACTTTAGACCTTCTTTGATCTTCCTGGAGCTGATTGTTGGCTGAGTCATTGCCATTTTGGCTATTCAGCAATCCATTCGAATGGTAGTTTTTCTCTTTCTTCCATGTCTTTCAGGTTTTGGTTGCCATTTTAAAGCATTTGCGATCGTTTTAGCTGAGCAGCCTATCATTTTCTGCACTTCTTTATATGTTTTCCCCTCTCCAATGAACTTTTTAATCAAGGTACGCTGTTCTTCTGAACAATGTCTGGAACGACCCATTTTCCTCAGAATTTCAGAGAGAAATGCACTGTAACCAGCATGTATAACATTTGCTGCCTTCCTTCCTTAAATAAGGGCAATAATTGCCACCTGTTTTTCAAAGAATGAATGACCTCACTAATAGAACTCCACACTGCTATAATTTTGAACATGCCCCTTTCAATTAGTGATTCAATTACACAGAATCGGCAGCATGCATGTCATGACTGTTGGGTCTGTTGGATTTCTATTACTCAACTACACCTGCTAGTAAATTATTTGCCATGTAGAAATCTCATTTCTACCAAAGACAGTGATTGATCAGGTTAGTGATGTCTGACTGCTATTATTGTGAACATAACTGTATATCTCCAAAACTCATGGGTCTTGCAGAGGAACAAGATCAAAAAACAGCAGTGTTTTTATTGTCAACGTTTAGATGAAGCTCAGCCCATCTTCCTCAAGACTTCCTCGAAACGTTGACAATAAAAACACTGCTGTTTTTGATCTTCTTCCTCTGCGAGACCTGTGACTGCCTCCTAAACCAGTTTTGGATTTATATGGATTTCTTTTGTGTGTGAGCACCTGGGCATTTATCTAAAACATAGTGCTGTGGCTGCCTTTTGGATATATATAAAAAAAAGTCCTGAAATGTGAAAGCCTAATTCCAGCCAACTATTTTATTTTAAATAGTCAAAGCTCAACTCCAGCCAATGCTTCTTATGAAGAACTAAAAGGTCTGTCAGCTTTTAAACGTTGTCAGTGGTGGATTTTGCATATTATATTTTCTGAAAGTATTCTTTATACTGATATGCTAGGTAGATTTAGCTTCACAAATGAGAAATGAAAGACATTTGGCTACATACTGTATATCAATTAGTATACTAGTATATGTAACAGGGATATCCAACAGGTGTCCTGCAGGACCTTTGGGGCCTGTGAGACAGGGCAGGGCAGTCTTTTGAAGAGTCAAGCTGTCAAACTGACAGCTCAGTCCTACAGAGTATACAGTGAGGGCAAGGCCTGTGTGATCTTCAAACTCCTGTCCATGACAGCCACCTGCTCTGCCTCAGGATTAACTGCCGAGAGAACCCTGTTGCAGAGCTCTGACAATAAAAAAAATTCTTTGCACCGAAACATAATTCTAGTGTTTTAAAAAAAAAAAAAAAAGGGAAAAAAATGCTCAATAAAATTAAATTTGCAGTTAACCCTTATTAGTTTTTATCAATCCTAACATTTGTAGTTAAATGTTTAGTTAACACTAACTTTTTTTTAACTCCTTCATTCCTTTCCTTAGTATTTTTGTTTTGTATGTAATCTTCCAGTTTTTTTTTGTTTTATTTTGTTTTGGGTGCTTTAAAAGCTCAGGACTCTACCATATAAATATATGTCCACCAGGTCTGCAACTGGTAACATAAGTCAAGTGAGGGATCACTCCACAAAAGCAGACCTTAAATATACAAAAGAGAAAATGAATGTGGGTTCAGCCTCCCCCCTGAAACCACAAAATTATTTTTGAAATGCATGGATTAATTTACTTCTAAAATAATTTTGAAGTTAGGGGGGAGGGGGGTTGAGCCCACATCGGGTTTCTCTCTTTTGTGGTATATTTAAAGTCTAGTCTACCAGAGGAACTAGGCCGGGACTTTGTACAGCATGGATGGGGTACAGTGAAGGTGTATATTTAGTTGTGCCCTGCACACTACTTGTGTATAGAAATGTGTTTTTTAATCATTTTTTAAGAGGTATTACAAATAAAAATGTAATATATTGCAGCTTACCAATTCTGTGGTGGCTGCATTCATTTTCTTTTTTTTAGCTTTTGTATTTTCTTCCTTTTATTTTCACCCAGTAATCCAGCCAGTAATACACTTCCTCTTATATGGTGTCTTAACTCTGGATGGATGATCACTGGAGTCACCCCTGGACAGCTACACTGTAAATCTGTGGAAAGGGTAGTGTTGGATGGACTTGACTAACAAATTAAAACCAAATTCCAGCTAACACTTTTTAAGCAGTTACAGCAACAGTTTTTTTTTTTTTCCTTTTGGGATAAAGGTTTAACACAAATTAATTAAAGCTGGTCATTGAATTGTAAGCAGTGTTAAATGTTTCGTCTCAACCTTCTAATTGGCACTTTTGCAGGACAGTTTGGTATGTTAAAGGAAGATATGTTAAATTTCACTTGTAGCACTATCCTCGTAAGGGCCGCTTGATCTGATTGGGCACAGCCAGGCAACACGCATTTTCTTCCACACTTTGCACACTGGAGACTATAAACAGTCCTTGAGCTTGGTTTTGTGATTTTATTAAGGAGTTTAGAACTTGGATGGTGTAAAGGGAATGTCCAATTAGATTGAAGAAATAGCCGAATGGGGACGTTTCCTGCTCTAGCACACTTCATAAAAAAAAACGACAGACACTTGACTGCATTCCACCCGAAACCATTACAGTCCTTAGTTAAGTAATCCCCTTCTAGGTGCTTGGATTCCCCTGAGTGGATTTCTGGCATCGTGACAATGTGTAGGAGGTCTTGGTGCACAGAATACCAGCCTACCTGGCTCCATTATCTGATCCCAGGAGAAGAGAATGGGTATGCTCTGAATTGTCCCCTGAATACTTGCCAGAATTTGCATGCAGCAGACCTCTCCCTTTTAGGCCCTGGGGGTGTAGAGGTACTAACACTCTTCTTGTCCTGCAGCTGTGGATAGAACTGTTTTCAGGCCTTTAACTGGGCTGGTTCCTCTCCAAGCTTTGCAGGCTGTCCTTCCCCAGTGGATGGCAGGGCAGTGGTGCTCCCTCTTTCAGCTTCTAGTCTGGAAGTATAACCCCCCTCCACTGGGGCTTCCTCCTAGGCTACACAGAAACGCCTCTCAGCAATCCATGTTCCACCCAACTCCCTGCTAGCATTGCTCTCTCCTATTTATGAGCCAGTCTACCACACTACTAGGACCTCTCAGCCTGGGATTGGTCAGACTCCAATGAATAAGCAGATTGAGATCTCCACCCTTCCACCTACTGGCTTCTGGAAGCTTCCATGGACCTCCAGAACCAAGTGGAGGTGATAGAGTCCCAACCTGCTAAGTCATCCAGCCAGACCTCACTGAATCCACAGACATTCAGGCTCACTCACTACCATGAGCCGAAAATAAATTTACTTTACACTAGCAAAAAAGAAAAAAATCCTCCTGCGCTTATATTGGTGAACCTAATTAAAGC